ACACAAAGTTCAGGGCCTCGCAGTCTTTCACTTATAGCGTCGCGCGCGCCGTCGACGAGTCGCATGCTAGCCCTGATATCAAGACGCAGGATTGCGCGGGCGCTATCCTTTATGCGGCCGAGAGGGCGAGCGAGGTCGCCGCTGATGCCATTCAGTTGATGGGCGGCATGGGCTACATGAACGAGGTGCCGGTAGGAAGAATACTAAGAGACGCCAAGTTGTATGAGATTGGTGCTGGAACGAGTGAAGTTAGGAGAATGGTTATTGGACGGGCGTTCAACAAGGAGTGGAAACAGGAGATATAGGAGAGTAGTAACACCCATTTCTCGAGGAGCTGAGAAAAAGGAAGTTTAAATACCCGTTATTGTATTATCGTCTATGGACATGTGCAAGTAGACGTGGTGCGATGCCAAAATGACACCAACATCTATTATATTCTTCCAGATCATTGTGCGGGTGGACATGTTTCCGCCCGTATATATTGCTTCTCTCACTCGCGCCTTGGCATCTATAGCTGCTTTTAAACTGCGCTTTGGAGGTGGGGAGCTGGACAACAATTATTCCTCTTAACTCCACGAGCCTACCATAGGAATACAGAGCCATCCCCCACTATCTCTTGTAGTGTGAAGCAAATACTATTGCCTATAAATACCCCTCACACGCGAGATCACGACATTGCTGTCCATGTAATCGCACTTGGGAACCATCTCGTCGAACATGAAGCCTGGTATTAATGCCACCGGTGGAATAGCAGGCACCCTGATAGCTAATTCTAAATGTGACTAGGGTTAGCACTGGGCTGGGTAGGTGAAATATGATCAACACAGTCTTGTGTATCGTGGCCCCGTCTATCACAGTTAGCCTCGTCATCACACTCGCGCTTCGAGGGCACCATTGGGGTAAGAGTGAAAGCAGTGGTAAAGGAAAAGCATGAGACAAAGTTTTCAAGTCGCGGCTGTGGTGATTTGGCTGGTAGTTACGAGATGAGTCTTACACGTAACAGGACGACGTATGAAGCGAGAGGAAAGTACAAGGTAGACGCGTGACGCTGACAATAGGACATCAACTGGGTCCAAGGCGACAATAGAGAGAGACGACAGTATGAAAGCGGGCGCTTGGGCCTACGGCACGCTTTGACCCGTATTCTGCGGTGAGCCTGGCAAATCTGAGTGGTTGTGAAAGTGAAGGGCCAGCGGATAATGTCTGTCGTCCACCCATGGCGCTTGCGCACCATACGCGGGTAGCAACAATGCTCCAACAGCGACGCTATGACGACATAGCATGTTGCTCTCGACGCTCTACCTTCTCAGTTCTTGACCACGCACAGGAGCGGCTCCTGTCCTCTCTCGTCGTTGCGGATCGAGGATAGTAAAGTTGGCCGACCTCAGCCGCTTCGACTACCCCCGAGCTATCGCCGGCAACGAGGACTGCTTAGCCTGTCTGGGACATGACCTCGGTACCCCAGTTTCCCCACAATTGGAGGCTGACACTGACAGTCGGCTCCGAATGCAGACGGCATCCGACTGTACTAACATCATTGCGGAAATTGGGCGTAAGCGTTAAAGTCGCAGACAGTCGCACATTCTTCGTTCCTTCTCTGCACTTTCAATCGAGGCTCAATCACTCGCTTGTTCCTGCCTCTCCGCCAAAGCCCGGCGCATCGCCAACCAACGTCTCAGATAGCGCTCACAATGCCGTTCCATCCTCCTTCATGGGTACCGCAGCTTCCGTTCGACCCGCCCGACACGATCCCTGTCTGCGATTTCATGCTGGATGAGAACTACGGCCGTCACCCGCTTGGATACTCGTTCAACCCATTCACTTGCGGCTTGACAGGAAAAACTTACACAAGCTTGGATGTGCGCGAGCGCGTTGACTTCCTTGCACGAGGCCTGGCCCAAGAGCTTGGTATGCAGCCAAACGAAGGGTCCGAATGGGACAAAGTTATCGCAGTCTTTTCTGTGAACACGGTCAGGACACAATGACCAGCGAGCCAATGTCGCATCGGGATTGACATTGCATAGATCGATACACTTCCGCTGGCCTGGGCCACGCATCGTCTTGGCGGCATCTCGACTCCTGCCAATGCTGCTTACAGCGCCCCCGAGCTCGAATACCAACTGAAGAACTCCGGCGCCAAGGCACTCTTCACTTGCGTCCCTCTGTTGGAAATTGCGCGGGAGGCGGCCAAGAAAAGCGGAATCCCCGACAACCGAATATATCTGCTGGAAGTACCGGAGAAGTTTGCAGGAAAGAGCACACCCAAGGGTATCAAGACGGTGGATGACTTGATCCGCGAGGGAGGAAAGCTCGACCACTTGCCAAAGCTACAATGGGAGGATGGAGACGGTGCTCGAAGGAGCGCCTTTCTTTGCTATTCAAGTGGCACCTCGGGCCTGCCTGTAAGCAACACAATCTTTTGGCATCCTCCAAGTGTTTGCTGACCGACATACAGAAAGGTGTCATGATCTCGCATAGAAACGTCATCGCCAACACAAGTAAGATGTCCTGAACGCATTCCACGATGCGACTCATCTGACACCCTCTAGTGCAAATCTCCACGTTCGAAAAACCATACCGCGACACCATCATCAAAGACGTACGCAACCAATCCGATTATACCGAAAAGGCGTTGGGTCTCTTGCCCATGTCGCATATCTACGGCTTGGTTGTTATTTGCCATGCTAGCGTCTACCGCGGCGATGGTGTTGTGGTCCTACCCAAGTTCGAGTTCGCGTCGACCATGCAGGCCATACAAGACTACGAGATCAATACGTTGTACCTAGTAAGTGAGTCGTCGCCTGGAGTGAATGTGAACTGACCGAGCAGGTACCTCCGATCATCATCCAGATGACCAAGAACAAGGCTTTGCTAGAGAAGTACAACCTCAGCTCGGTATGGTCACTCTTCACCGGTGCAGCACCTTTGGGACAAGAAACAGCCGAAGACTTGCAGAAGCTGTACCCCACTTGGAAGATTCGCCAAGGATATGGCCTCACAGAAACCAGTACCGTTGTGACTTCATCGTCTCCTGACGACATTTGGTTCGGCTCTTGCGGCTCCATACTTCCAGGCGTTGAGTGCAAGATTGTCACTCCCGAGGGAAACGAAGTGACCGGATACGACCAGCCTGGTGAACTGCTTGTCAAATCGCCTTCGGTCGTTTTGGGTTATCTGAACAATGACAAAGCCAACAAAGAGACCTTCCAGGATGGCTACATGCACACTGGTGACGAAGCTGTCGTCAGAAAGTCGCCTAGTGGGCACGAACATGTGTTCATCGTTGACCGAATCAAGGAGCTCATCAAGGTCCAGGTACGTCTGCATGCATCTCCTTAGAAAGCATATGCTAATCATAATCTAGGGACATCAAGTCGCACCTGCAGAACTTGAGGCACATCTCTTGACGCATCCCGCTGTCAACGATTGCGCTGTGATCCAGATTCCTAACGAGAAGACTGGAGAAGTACCAAAGGCCTTTGTCGTCAAGGCACCCTCGGTCGGTCTTGAGGAGAACGACCGCGTTCTTGCGCGTGAGATCCAGAAACACGTCGAACAGCACAAGGCGAGATACAAGTGGATCAGTGGTGGTATCGAATTCATCGACGTAATACCAAAGTCGCCGTCCGGGAAGATCCTACGGCGAATGTTGAGGGACCAAGAGAAGGAGAAGAGGAGAAAGGCGGGAAGCAAGTTGTAGTGGAGTACTTCGACTATCGACGATCCCAATATAATGCAACTACTTGTAAGTTAGGATGTAGTTAAACTGGTTGCGGCTTGTGCTACTACAACACACGTAGCTATAGCAGACTAAGTTCTACATAGCCAACACCAGCGCAATCGCAACATTGTTTCCAAGACCAATCTGCAAAACGATCCTACACTCTAGCGTACCAGAAGCGAAATATCACTGCATGCACGGAAGCGAGAATTTTCACAGGAGTGGGCCGGACCTTACTCCATCGCGTCCGTCTCCACAGCAAGGCCTGAACACAACCCAAGAACGCCTCGATACATGTTGCAATGGAAACACATGGTGCAAGTCCTCGATTCATATACCAGACTGTCGGCATGTATTCTTCATGCACAGTTCAAAATGGCTCGGTGGTGTAGTTGGTTATCACGTCAGTCTAACACTCAGTTAGATGCACTGAAGGTCCCGAGTTCAAACCTCGGCTGAGTCAGCGTGCTCTCGTCTTCTCATCTTGAGATGATGAATCTTTTTTTGCTTGGGTCGACGACTTCTTTTGGGTTTAAATCGATCTTAGCGATGCTGTGCTCTCCATCTGCCAAGGCTTTATGCTTCTTCAACTCATCACAGCGACATACTGGAGACAGTACTCAGGCGCTTTTTTTTTCTCAATGTCCGTTTTACTCTCAATTGCCAAATACATCTAAGGATCAAATCAAGACATCCTTCATCAAAAGCAACAACAGGCTCGGTGGTGTAGTTGGTTATCACGTCAGTCTAACAACCTGTTAGGCACACTGAAGGTCCCGAGTTCAAACCTCGGCTGAGTCATCTGGAATAGCTACAATTCATGTAGCACACTCCCATTTTTGCTTTTGAAGCAGACACGGCGGGTAGTCGGTTGCTGTTCTTTTTTTTTTTGCGCGGGTGGGTGGAGACGGGGAAAGGCGAGACTTCGGCACACGGAGAGAAACATGCAGCATGCATGCCGACGTGCAACTCACAGCATCCTAGCACAGAGTTTACATGGTGAGAAAAGAAAACATGCATGCAGTCGTGAAGCAAACACATGGTGCACTTTTAAGGTTTCCCTTTTTGCAGATCTCGGAGTAGCCGCGAACAACCAAATAAAAAATGTAGTTCTATATGGCCCCTACCATGCACAATAGCAGCCCTCCACAAAAAAAAAACTAAGCACCGCAAAGGGTTGCTACCACTACTAAACAAAACCCACCGCGGTCCCTTTCTCTTTTGCTCCACCCCTAATTCGCCGGTTACAATAAATCAGCAAAAAAACTGAAATGTTCTCAAGGTCTTGCCCGGAATCGAACCGGGGTTGCCGGAAGAGTACTGATGAGAAGAATCAGAATCCGGAGTGATAACCGCTACACTACAAAACCGATTGAAGAGTGCTGATTGGCTGTTTTCGATGTTGGCAAAAGCAAATTACTGTGTATATATTGTTAATTATTTGGGCGTAACTGCACGGTGCTTACAGTTCTTGCAGTGCTTGTAGTGGTGGGAGGGTGGGGGAGTCGTCTTGTGTGGGCAGTGGGGTTGGGGTGAAGAATTTGGTAAAAAAAAAAAGAAGTGATGTAACGGGGGGTGGGGAACGCCGATGTATACCGAACAGAGCAAGGAACATCGCGACAAGTTGCTTCACATGCAGGGCCATGAACACGTGAAGCAACCCCATCACACATAGCAGGCAAGCTCTTAGCAGAAGAAAAGAAACTATAAATCTCGGTTGTGTACCATTCATTCTTTGTGAACTATCAACCCATACCCTCCACCCACCGCTTCTCCAATAGCCTCCCAAACACGACCAAGCCTGGTCCTTTGGCTGTGCTAGCGACTGAGGCATCCGTCCAAGTAGTACAACACCCCCAAGCCAGACAAATGGGATATAGAACCGATTGCACAAAAGAAAGTAAAAGAGAAAAAAAAGGAAAGGAAAAAAAGTGCCCCGCCATTGAGCTTTGCCATGGAGGCAAGTTGGGTGACAATGAGCATTGGGTATCAAGAGTGCGTAGCAGTGCAGCCAGCTTTGGAGAAGGAAACATTACAATATAGTGGTATATGGTGGTGTGGATTTGCGCGTGAGCGCGACCCGCTTCTAGCTCTTTTATAACCAGGCCCCTAGGGTGATTTGAGCGAGTGAGAGAATACAATAGTTGTTAAGTGAAGGGACAGTAGGAGAGAAAGATGTGCAGTCGAGGTCGATGTGCCTCTGCAGTGATGATGATGAGATGGTGATGACGTCGAGTCGTGTGGGTCGTAGCCCTAGTAGCAAGAAAATTGGTAATGGGAGATGGTACAAGTGAGATAAGGAAGCAGGTTCAAAGACAACAAACAACAAGCAAGAGGCGGCGAAAAGCGATCGACCGTTAAGCATGCCCGTCACACGTGAGCGAATCGTAAGCGCGGGCCATTCATCTAGAAGCCGCGGAAGGGATCGTTACTACCTTCAAATTCGAACAGACCACCGCGGTTGGATTGATCGCGGGTGCTGGCACTCCACTGGCTGCTTCCTCGACGACGGCGGTGCTGCATGTACTGTGCTCGTGCGGCGTAGCTGCCCAACTGCTTTTGGTCACCAAGAGCGTTGTCAATGAAGGCTTCCATGCGAACAGTGCCCATGGTATCGAAGAAATGTTGACGGGTCGAGGTACTTGCCTCTGAGGTTCGAGAACTCATGGCACCACTATTAGGGTTGTATACCGAAGAAGGCACGGACGGTGGTACGCCAGCGCTATACATGTCGGAAGAGCCGTTGGAGTAGATGGATGGTACGTGTTGATGGGAGAAACTTCGGAATGGAATGCTCGGGGGTGGTGCACTAGGCCCAGTTGAGCTCCTCTTCCTGCCGTGCTGTGGGCCACGTGGGATAACGGGCGGACTGGCGGAGTCTTGCACTGGCCCATCGAAGCCGGCGAGTGAAGGAAGACTAGGCATGGGTTCATCCTGCGCTGCGTATCGCGCCATAACCGGGTTTACCCGGCCTTTGGCGAGACGTACAGAATCTTGCACGCGGCTGCGGCGGAGGGTTGCGCCTTGTTGACGTTCGGTCTCGTCGACCGGTGGTGGAATGGGGGGCAAAGACCCGAGATCTGGCATGGGCGCGCTTGAGTGAGCGAGGAAAGAAAGGGCAGTCAGCCACAGGTAATGGCGCTCACGCGATGCTGTGGTGAATTTGAGAGCGCGCGCAGGGGTGAGGATAAGAATGGAACGATTGAAAAGGGTCTCGTTCTTTGGAGGAGGGCAGTTGTCGGCGACATCAAGGACAGACTGAATGACGACTGCAGATATGTTAGTAAAATATGAATACCAGAGGCGCAGATAACCCACGTTTGCGACCACTCTTGCCCATCAATGCAGAACCAGATGTGGGCTGCTTGCTGCTCCAAAGAATTGCCCTCTCGTACGGTGAGATCCAGACCCAGCGTTTGTGCCTGACACCATGGTTGGCCAGAGAAGCCTCCTCTGCTGCGCGACTGACGTCTACCGATGTTTCGGGGCCACCGAAAGGCTTCCTCTTGCGAACGTACTTCCACATGAACTCTCCAATCATCGATGCAGCGATTGCGTCAACAACACTGGTTTGGGAGATTGAGCCTTCGGTGGAGCCGTTGGCTGTGTAACCTGTGGCTGCAGTGGCACTCGAAAGCTGGTGTCGGTGGCGGAAGCCGCTCGCGCTGACAATGTCACTAGGGAGTGGTGGGATAGACGCACTGTCAGCATTGCTTGGAGTCGCTGGGAGTGTTGGAGATCTACTGCGAGAGCGGGAGGTCTTGGTTACAGGCGCTGCAGATCGGACCTTCCTCAAGCTTTCTTTCCGTTGATGCGTCACGCCATATGGTCGGCGTCCAGCATACGAGCCGCTGTTGCGCGGCGTTGGGCTCTGAGAGCCTTCGCTCTTGCTGACTGGCTTATTGCGTGAGCTGGAACGGGTGGGCACTGGGAACGGCGGCTTAGGCAAGTAGTTGCTCGATCCCAGGCTGCCGATGCTTGGACTGCGAGAGCGGGCATGAGCTGCAGTGCTGCTCTGGATCATCGCAGATCGTCGAATGCTTGGCTGGCGACCGATCGAGTTGCGCTGAGATTTACCAACCTTGGACGGCTTTTCCATCGAGCTGCGCTTGGGGGGTATCGAAACGCTGTTGATGGAATCCTCTGAAGGCCTGGGGTTTGGTGCGCTTTCCTTGTCTTCTGGCACAGGTGTTGGAGGGTTCACTGGTCGTCCACTCTTCGCATTGCGTGACGACAGCATCGACGTAGAGTATTGATGAACTCTGTAATCGTCATCACTTAGGTCTGCTTCATCTTCTTCATCGGAAGATGGACCATCGAACCCTGCAAACAAACTGCTGGTGCGGAACGGCCGGTTGAGTGCTTCTGCTTGGAGCTGGCGCGACAAGGGACCGTTGTCGTTGTTACCAGGATAGCGATTCTCGACATCCATGCCCGCAGCCTTTTCGAGGCGAGTAGTAAGATTCTGGCGAGCTGTTGTGATCAAAGTAAATTGCTCATTGTCGCTGGAACCAGAATGATGGGAGTCCTTCTTGATGACTCTGTTCTCTGTTTCGGGTGTTCCTGGCTTAGAGGAGATGGCGGAAGGTAGAAGATGAGCAGGAAGCTTGACAGGTCGCTGATCAATCCTGATCGGTTCAGTTTGCATGGCCGTCGAATGCATTGGGGCCGCAAGATCTCCACTAGTCTGAGTCGATACTGTCTTCGTACGTGGGGGAAGAAGGGGAGCTCTTGGGGAGGAAGGCGCAGATGTCGGCGCGTGTATCGCAATGGATGGGATAATGGAGATGGGGGCTGGAGGATTCGCCCTCTTGGGTATCTCAGGTGCGACCTCTGCCTCGACCGGAGGCTCCGTCTGAGTAGCTATAGAAACTACCTCAGCTTGGAATACGGGTGACGAGGGGACCTGCTCTGAGGGTATCGGAATCTTCGGAGTCGGCGGCGGACTGAGTGGTTGTTCAACGGTTTGCACAGAAGTCGATGTCATCGCGCATGTTTCAGAGTTGACATGGGATGGCGGGTTGGAGTTCAAAGGCATTGAGACTCGCTTGCGGCTCTGATTTGCTTCGACTTCTGCAGCAGTAGACGGTGCTTCATTCAGTTTGATCTGAACAGGCGGTTCGCTAGTTTGCGATGCAGCTTCCATCATGACAGGCTTCGTTGGGGAAGGCGGAGGTGAGGGCTGTACGCCGTTGTCGACATAGATAGGCTTGGTCGGTGGGAAAACCAAGGTGATGTCGCGAGGAGTCAGTGTAACTGAGGACTGCACTGTTTCATAAGACGACTTCCTCGGCTCGGTGTCATCAGCCGTCATGACAGGGCTATCTCGGGTACCTTGTTGGGACTCGCTGCTCAGACCAAGAATGCGCTTTGCTTTTTCGTCAGGTAACATCGAGTGTCGTGACTCCAGGGCTCGGCGCGCTCTCATCTCATTTTCAGGGAAGTCATCAGAATCAAGTTCTAACTCGTCTAGTTCCTCCTCTTCTTCATCGAATATTAACTCATCGGCAAGGCTCATACCGTTGCCGCGGATGTGCCCATCTGCACTCATCAGAGACATGCGGTAGTTACGCCCCATGCTCTTCCAACTGCTGTTGCTCCGGTTCCTGGAATGGCGTCCAAGACGAGTGGATGATCTGCGCTGCGGCGATGAACGGACACTACCTGCGTCGCTTTCTGGTATACCAGTGTCTCGGGTCGGATCCTCCGCGTCGCTTTCAGCGCCGGCTTGCTCGTTAGCCTCCTCTTGTATGGCGATCTCTTCCAGGAGCATCTTCAGCCGGCTTTCCGAAATGTGAACGCGTCGCTCCAACTTTAGCTTCTCTGCAGCCCATTCTTCCTTTTCACGAGCCCACATATCGTGCACTTTCGTTGAGTCGTCATCTTGGCTTCGCGTTCTCTTCTCTGCTGCCGCAAGCTTCTGTCGCAGATCCGCATTAGCCTCCTTCATCTTGTCCCTTTCGCCTGCAATCTCTTCCAAAGCAGCAAGTGTTTCATTTTCAAAATGCTGAAGCTGGCGTTTTACGGCTTTGCCTTCTTTGTTAGATGATGCCAGCTGTTTGGCAAGCGACTCATTATCAGTACGGGTCGTGTCCAAGTTTGTTTCCAGATCGTCGATGAATCTGTGTTTGGAGTCGAGCTCTCGACGAAGATTCAGAATCTCAGAGACCAGGTTGGCATGGAGTGTTGGAGTGAAGCGACGGGGGTCGAGAATCGAGATGCGTTCATCGTTGGCGGCATCATCCGAACTGAAACCTGGATCTGGCGGAAGAGGAGGCGGTGAACTGGTAATATCACTGCTTGGTCCATCGTATCTGGAGGTCTGCCGCGATAGCGAGTCGTATGGGGTACCAACAGGGGTAGGCAGCGG